ATCTTTCCATTCTTCTGAAGTAAGCATTTAGTGTGATAAATTTCCCTCTTAGTACTGCTTTTGCAGTATCCCACAGGTTTTGGTATGATGTATCATTGTTTTCATTAGTTTCAATTTTTTTTTTATTTCCTATTTGATTTCTTCTTGGACCCATATGTCATTAAGTAGGATGCTGTTTGTATAGTTTCCAGAATTTCATTTGTTATTGATTCCTAATTTTAATCCATCATGATCTGAAAAATTACAAGGGATAATTCCAATTTTTTTGAATTTGTTGAGACTTGATTTGTGACCTAACATGTGGTCTATCCTGGAGAATGATCCATGTGCTGATGAGAAGAATGAATATTCTGAGGTTGTTGGATGGAATGTTCTGCCGATATCTGCCAAGTCCAATTGGTCTAGAGTGTTGTTTAGATCTTGAGTTTCTCTGCTGATTCTTTGCCTAGGTGATCTGTCCAATATTGACAGTGGGGTGTTCAGGTCCCCTGCTATTATGGTATTAGTGTCTATTTCCTTCTTTAGGTCTAATAGAGTTTGTTTTATAAATCTGGGTGCTCCAACATTGGGTGCATACATATTTATGATTGTTATGTCTTCTTGATGCATCAGTCCTTTTATCATTATGTAGTGACCCTCATTGTCTCTTTTTATGGATTTTAGTTTAAAGTCAATTTTGTCTGATATGAGTATAGCTACTCCAGCTCGTTTATCTTTTCTGTTTGCTTCGAAGATCTTTTTCCATCCTTTCACTCTTAATCGATGTGAGTCTTTATGGGTGAGGTGAGTCTCTTGTAGGCAGCATATAGTTGGGTCCATCTTTCTTATCCAGTCAGCCAATCTGTGTCTTTTGATTGATGAATTTAAACCCTTGACATTAAGGGTTATTATTGAGAGGTGTTGCTTTATTCCCAGCATTTAACTATTTTTTTGATTTTCTTGAGTGATATTTGTTCCTTGCTTTCTGCTTTGCTATTTGTTTTCTGTGTTTGTTGGTTCCTGAGGTTGCCTCTAGTGATTATGATCGTTTGTTTTCTTTTCATGATAGTCATTTTTATTATAGTAGTGGATTTTTATTTTACTTGGATTGTTAGGGCAGTGGTAATTATCTTCCAGGATCCAATCCCAGTACTCCCTTGAGAATTACTTGTAAGGGTGGTCGTGTGGTGATGAACTCCCGCAGTTTTTGTTTGTCTGAGAAATATACTATTTGCCCTTCATTTCGGAAGGACAGCCTTGCAGGGTAGAGTATTCTTGGCTGGCAATCTTTGTCTTTTAGTATTTTGAATATATCATCCCATTCCCTTCTAGCCTTTAGGGTTTGTGTTGAGAAGTCTGACGTTAACCTGATTGGAGCCCCCTTATAGGTGATTTGATGCTTGTCGCTTGCAACTTTCAAGATTCTCTCTTTGTCGTTGAGTTTTGCCATTTTGAGGTTTTCTGTATTTGTTGGTTTCTTGGGTTGTAAATAAACTTTTTTTTTCTCTGTCTTCATTGTTAGCATTTTTATTTTACTAGAGGGTTTTGATTTTTCTTTAGTTTTTATGGCAGTGGTAGTTATTTTTCAGGTGCCAAGCCCAGTACTCCCTTGAGAATTTCTCATAAGGGTGGTTGTGTGGTAGTGAACTCCCACAGTATTTGTTTGTCTGAGTAATATACTATTTGCCCTTCATTTCAGAAGGATAGCCTTGCAGGGTAGAGTATTCTTGGCTGGCAATCTCTGTCTTTTAGTATTTTGAATATATCATACCATTCCCTTCTGGCTTTTAGGGTTTGTGATAAAAAGTCTGATGTTAGTCTGATTGGGGCTTCCTTATAGATGACTTGATGCTTCTCTCTTGCAGCTTTTAAGATTCTCTCTTTGTCTTTGAGTTTTCCAATTTGACTATAACATGCCTTGGAGAAGACCTTTTTGGGTTGAATATGTTTGGGAATCTTTGAGCTTCCTGAATCTGAAGATCTGTGTCTTTTCCTATACCTGGGAATTTTTCTGCCACTATTTTGTTGAATATGTTTTCAATGCAATCTCCTTTTTCCTCCCCTTCTGGAATACCCATGACTCGGATATTTGAGCGCTTAAGGTTGTCTAATATCTCTCTCAGATTTTCTTCAATGTTTTTAATTCTTTTTTTCCTTTTTTTGTCTACTTGTGTTATTTCAAATAGCCCATCCTCAAGGTCAGAAATTCTCTCTTCTGCTTCTGCAAGTCTGCTGGTTAAACTCTCTGCTGTGTTTTTTATTTCATTGAATGAATTCTTCAGCTTGGCAAGCTCTGCTACATTCTTTTTCAGGCATTGATTTCCTTGTACATTTCTTCTTTCAGGTCCTGTATACTTTTCCTCATTTCATTGTGTTGTCTAGCTGGGTTTTCTTCTATCTCATTTAGTTTCCTTGGAATTATTACTCGAAATTCCTTGTCAGACATTTCAAGGGCTTCTTGTTCTATAGGATCTAGAGCTTGAGAGGTATTACCCTTTGGTGGTGTACTTTCTTGATTTTTCATATTTCTGGTATCTTTCCTTTGGTGTTTAGTCATTGTGACACGGGATTTCATGGCCCACTGGTTCAACACTGTTGTCTGGCTAGGATCCTGCCAGGACTGTCAATTTGGCACAACTGCCTCAGTGCCTTGTGAGTTGGAAGGTTTGGGCCTTGGCTGCCTCAGTGTCTGTGGGTGGAAGGTTTGGGGCTCTCTGGTCGGTGCCCACTCACCTGGGCTGGGGGCAGGTCCAGCGGTAGCAATGCCTACCTGCTCGGTGGCACTGGTGCCTCGGGGTGTGTGGTTGCTGCAGGTCTCGGGCCTCTCTAGGGTACACCTCTCTGGTCGGTGCCCACTCGCCCAGGCTGGGGGTGGGGTCCAGCAGTGGTGACACCTACCTGCTTGGTGGCACTGGTGCTTTGGGTCGTGTGGTCATCATGGGTCTCGAGCCTCTCCGGGGGGCACCTCTCTGGTCAGCACCCACTCACCTGGGCTGGGGGTGGCGTCCAGTAGCAGTGATGCCTACCTGTTTGGTGGTGCTGGCACCTCGGGATGCATGGTCACGGTGGGTCTCAGGCCTCTCCTTAATTATAGAATTTTTCTGATGCTTTTATAATACGCAGCAACACATACAAAAGTATACGTGAAATGTTTTACAATTGTATGAACTAGTAGGAGTAAGGATATTGCACAACATGAATATAAATTTACTTAGTCTTGTCTGAGGTTAGCTCACAGAATATACAGCACAACTATAATTAGATCATGAGCAGCCCAGCACCTCCTGTGGAACATTTTCATTGTCAGACCCATACTCAATTATCCATTTCATGGAATCAAAGCAGTATGTACTTTGTTCTGCAGGGTAAAGTGACACAAAAAGTTCACAAGAAGAACATTAATAATGCAATGGAAAATGAAACCAAGAAAATGATATTATGTTTCTGTGCAGGTATTGGCACCAGAGATGGCTCTGCAGAAAAAGACAAAGATTTCAAGGGCAAAGCACAAAAACAAGTGCAGTTCAACCCAGGCCAGACCAGGGCCACATGGAGGGTGCGGATCCTGAGCGATGGGGAGCATGAGCAGTCTGAGACCTTCCAGGTGGTACTCTCAGAGCCGGTGCTGGCTGCCCTGGAATTCCCCTCAGTGACCACCGTGGAGATCGTTGACCCGGGAGATGGTAAGAGCTACTATCAACTTGTTTACACTGTTGCTACTGAGCTTTTATGACAAAATGCCCTATAGAGGAAGTTTTAAATTCAATGTTTGGACTTTCTCTAGAGAGAATTTTTTGATTAACGGTTCGATATTCTCAGATAGAAAAAGGGAAACTAAAAAGTAATGAAGGGAAGCTTTATTTTTTAAAGTCAATGAACTACTCACAGGATTATCATGTTTTCTCTGATATTATAATTCTCCCTTTAGGACCAATATTGCACATCTCATTTTTCTTGAATTAATTTATCACTTTTTAAAGTCTTGCAAATGTCTTAAAATATCTTTTAAACAAATGGCTTGAGAATTCTACCCTTTTGGGATTAATTTTTTCCTCATATTACATTCAATTATTCAAGTTTTTAAGATATATTCAGCAGCCAAAGTTTTTCATTTGGCCATATGTTTCCACATTTGTTGCATAATATTCACCCCACCCACCTGGCTCATCCCCATTCTGTAGTGAAAACAGTGTCTGCAATTATTGCCCTTAATTTCTATTAGATTATGTCTTCTCATCCATGCACAGCCTTGGCTGCTATTGGTAAAAGTGAACTTTAACACTTTTGTGTGTAATTTGACCTGTTTCCTCTCCCTGCCATACTTCTGTAGTCCTGGCTTGTCTCAATGAAATCGGGGGGAAGTAGAGGGGAGGTTGAATGGCTTTTTGAAGTCTGGCATTTACGCACACCTTGTAGAGCCTTCTAAAGATGAAATCCTGTCGGAAGCCAGACATGACTGTTTTTAAACTGCCAGCCTACTTGATTTTGTCAGTCAGAAAACTCTTAAATGGTCTGCGAAGATACAATCTACTGAGTACACGAAATGGAGACCTATGTGGAAATTCTTATGTTAAAAGACTGAGCATAATTAAAGAGAGAGGATAAGAAAACTGGAGCTCCAACATCATTTGTTTAACTAACTTCTCTGCCTGTAGTTAAATATGAAGTTCAAGTATGTTTATAATTTGCATTAAAGAACAGTTAGCATTTAATTACATTTAATTTTATCTGTGTTATCTAGGGATAAATAATTAAACTTTCTTCTAGTCCTGCGCTTTAAGTATGTGCTCAAATAATAAAGCTTTTCTCTTTAAAACAAGTCCATGACAGCTGTAACACATATGAACTGGTCCATTTCTTGATATTTTATTTGGCAATTTGCCAATTGTACAATAGCCGTACTTTAACTTCAGGAGTAAGACACTTAAACTCATTTAAGCCCAGAGTGACGCTCTGTACCCATGATGTATCTGAGCAGTGGGATATTAAAAACAAAACTAACACACACACACAAATAAAAT